TAGAAAAATTTTTATAAATATGACGAATATATTGTATTATACTTCAAACAAAGGAAAGGATGAATGTCAATTTTAACAAATTTTCCTTATCATTGTTTCTTATCATTTGAAGGATGAATGTCAATTTTAACAAATTTTCCTTATCATTGTTTCTTATCATTTCCAATTAAAATTTTCTGAAAAGTTTTACATTTATTTTGTTATCTGAAAAAATACGAAGCTGCAACGTTACATATTGAGAAATAAACTTTCGTTTCCTGGAAAAAATACCAAGAAACTTGACATTTTTTTCTTTTCATGGACCCTTACAAATTCTGCTTTTCATTGCCCGTTTGATTAAAAAGATGATATAAAAGTCTTCTCTGAAACCAAAGAATTTCTTTTATGAATATAATATTCATTCCAATTATTTGTATTGTTACTCCGTAAAAGAAGAAACTCTGAATAAAACACACGATCGAGAAACATTAATTTCTCTCTTTTCTTACATACTTCCTTTTCTACATCCACTTCATTCGTTGTCTTCATTGTTACAAAGACAATAAAGAACATAAAGAAGAACCATTCATCCCCGATAAAATAGGGAAAACCGAGGTGTCGAGAGGCATTCGAGGATTTCGAACGTTGCTCGTAAATTAGAAAGTTATTAGAGGACAATTGGATGTCGATTAATTTCCTCGGGAAATAAACGTACATATAGGGCATTGCATGACAGCCATATTATACAGCCTATGGGAACATCTATACGGGTGTCAGTTGCTCCGTGAAATTCTCCATCAATCTACAAAATTATCCGACATATGGCTATTAGGAAAGCTGTTACCTTTTTTTTTTTTTTTTTATACGCACTTCGCGCGAAAGGTAGCACTCTCGATCCTACTATTTGAATATTCATCAAAAGCATCTCTAAACTAGACTTTTTAGATTTTTTTTGTAATCTGAATTTATTATAGTTTAGTATCACTTCGTAACCTGAATTCGAATGTCTAGCATCACTGTTGTATTTTTCGTATAGAAGATATTTCTAAAATTAACTCGAACTTACTTCGAATAGATTCATTACTATGCTGCTTCTTATTAAATGGCTTGTACTATAGTTTGGCAAATGACTTTCACATAAGTATTTTCATTTATATTTTATTTTAATGACATATTATATTCTATTTCTATGTTTTATTTTTTCTTTCTATATATGGAAATGTGGAAATACAGTGGCTTGTGAAAGTATTTTAATACCTTGGTTACTAATTATGATTTATAAATAATCTTATTCATAATCCTATAACTTATAAATAATAATGAAATCTGTGAAAAGATAATTATAATTTAAGCAGAATTTTTATAGCCCTTCAAGTCGGAAAACTTTATAATAAAATTATAATATTATTAATTTCATTATTACATGTATTAAAAAATAATCAAATGTAATAAA